TCCCTGGCTCTTTCACAAATGAATTCAGTAGAAATTGAATCACCTTTCATCTGTTTTTCCCTAATCCAGATGGGAAGTAACTTCTCAGTTTCTGCAATTAGGGATCTACTTTTAAACACTCTTGTAGATTTGTCTTTCACTTTCACTTCCTTAAATTTTTCTTTCTGTGCAAGAATTGTCGACACAGTTGATGTCGACATGCCATATTCTTTGCATAGCGCATTTGTTCTAATGCCTTGTTCATGCTTTTTTATGATTTCCTGCTTGGTCTGGATTGAAATCGCTTTTCTTGATATCTTAGGCCCCCATGCTGGATTCAAACAATATCAACACGTGTTTTTTAAAGTTAAACTTGCTGTAAATAAAGAATATTTTCTTTAAAATAACACTGCACTGTGCTATATATTGTCAATATGTAAAATAAATTTCAAAATGACCAATAATTTGCTTGGAAACAGAAAAAAAGCATTTAGTTGAAGAGAGTCTCAAGCAAGATGTTACCTCCACTGAAAACAAAGAGAGAGACTAACGCTTGTTTGCTGTGTTAAGAGGCTGGATGGCCCCCATTAAACTAGTCACTTTACCTTCAATTATGTTCAATAATTGTTAAAATGACTAAAAAATTTAATATTTAACTTTTAAAATTATTGAATAGTATAAACTTCTTGATATTTACGAAAATAGTAAGGAATTGAAGCCCTAGAACCAATTAATGTATTGGCGGACTGATACTAAACCTGGTTGACTGCCAAGTGCAAGCCAAAACTTGTTGAGGTCTGCTTGTAAGAAACTCGTTAACCGAGGGATTGCTCGTTAACCGAAGTTAAGAATCTTATGGGAGGTAACTCGTTAACCGAAATCTCGTTAATCGAGGGACCACTGTATAGAGTGCTTATACAGGTTGACAACCCTTTATCCGAAAACCGAAAAGCTCTGAAAACCGGAAGTTTTTTTTTTTGTGTGGCATTTTTTTTTATTTATTTATTTTTTTTTTTTTAAACAGGGATTAGCCCACCCAGGCATAGATCACTGACCCACATCAGGCCTGGGGGTAATGTAATAGTATAGCTAGACTCCGACTTACGACGGGGTTAGGGACCCAAATCCAGGTCGTAAGTCCGACATAGAGAAAAAAAAATTAATAAAAAAGCTACAATGAAATACAGTACAGTAAAAGTAATAAATAATGAGGAATGGATACAGTGTGACTGAGCACTTTCCTTTAATGTAGTCAGCTGAATGCACATGGGGCCCCCATAATTTTCTAATTATACATGGAGACTACATTAACTGGAAACGTTTCGGTATAGAAAATGCGTGCATCATTTGAAGGGGAAAAAAAAATGGTCACAACTGCGGCGGTCGTAAGTCGGGGTCTAGCTGTAATAATAATTATAATAATAATAATTATTCACAGTAAATAAAAATGTTAATAAAAATACACCAAAATAAAATATAACAGTAATAATAAAATATAATAATAAAATTAATAAAAATAGCAATAATTCAGGAGTACTGTAATAATAATAATAATAATAATAATAATAATAATAATAAAGAAATACAAGAATGAAAAAAAGATCAAAAGTGAGAAACGACCTAGACCTATGAATTATTATTATATCCCCCCTCCCCCCAGGCCCTGATGTGGGTCAGTGATCTATGCCCGTACAATACACAAAAAAAAAAAAAACTAACCATTCTTGAAAAACCTAGTATTCGAATCCGAAAATGCCCTGTCCCAAGGATTTCTCGGATAAGGGATTGTCAACCTGTACAGGTATTCAAATAAATTACTATCTTACAAGAATCCAAGCTATGTAAGTTATATTCACCCAGGTCGCTTGGGTGGCAAATTATGAGAAGAGCTTAGTCAGTCTTAAGTAATGATAAATAAACACCCAGGCCTTCACCGCCAACTTCAAATGTTGTCTCAAAAAAATAAAGACACTCTGTCACCTCACCTCACGCTCGGCTGGCTACCTCCCTCCCTGCGTTCCCAGACAAAAGATTGGTGATTTCTTTATGTTTATTTTATATAATATCTCAGACTAAAGTTAGGATAATATAATTTGCATTGCTGAAATCTTTGCAAGACAGAGATTAATTTAAATATAAGCGTCATATATTTGGCTCAAGATATAAAGAATGTAGTACATTAGTGTACAATACTGTAGTACATTTTATAAAAAGTTTTTCAACTGTATTTTTGGGTAGATTTACATATATTTCTTCATTTATTTTCACCCATTTACATGCACACACCATACTAAAAGAAACGTAAAAGAAATAAATGACCTTAGTGCAAAGCTGGAGTGCACACGTACTAATTTGATTACGGTACTAAAATTGTTGTCTAGTGCGAATTACAACATGGTTATATTCAAATAAATCAGTATCTTACAAGAATCCCAGCATTGTTAATTATATTCTCCTAGGTCATATCACTGGCATTTTAAAATGAGAGAAGCTTAGTAGGACTGTAAAATAAACACACAGAGACCTTCGGCTCAAACTGTCAAACATACCTAACTCCCCACCCTTAGCTGGCTGATCTTCCATTCCCCAGCCAGGGTTTTAGGCTTACAGTTTTTATCTTTATATAATATCTCAGACACCAAGTTAGGAGATTATAATTTGCATTGCTGGAATTCTTGCAAGATAGCCAATAATTTGAATATAAATGTCATATATTTTGCTCAAGAGATAAAAATTGTTGTATGTTAGTGTACAGTACTGTAGTACATTTTATAATATAAAGTTTCTCAACTGTATTTTTGGGTAGATTTACATAAATTTCTTCATTTATTTACATGCACACACCATACTAAAAGAAGCTAAAAGAAATAATTGACCTTAGTGCAAAACTGGAGTGTACATGTACTAATTTGATTACGGTACTAAAATTGTTGTCTAATGCGAATTATAGCATGTTTATATTCAAATTAATCAGTATCTTACAAGAATCAGCAATGTAAATTATATTCCCCAGGTCATTTCACTGGCTTTTGTAAGAGAAGCTTAGTCATTAAGAACTGATAAATATCGTCAGTTAGACCTGGGCCTGTGCCTATCAAACCGCTCCTCCCACTCCCTCCTCCCTCCCTCCTTCATCTGCCCAGCATTGCTGGAATCCTTGAAAACAGTGAATAATTTTAATATAAACTTCATGAATTTTGCAAAGATAAAATTAATCACCTGCATCACATTACGGTAATGATTTAAGAGTAAAGGTGTATGTGCGTATATAGTATTCACATACTGCGTAAGTTATAAATACAAAGTTTTATGTGATGATCGGACAACGTCCATTTGGTTAACGTCCGTTTCAAGAAGGTATCTAGAACATTAACGGCGCATGACTGTATAGTGATTTAAGGCGATTAGGAGAATTTTAGGAGTGTTTCTGACTTTTTGCATTTTGGCTTTACTTTGTATATACTTTTCTGTGAGCTGGAACCAATTGCAATATCCCATTGAAACAATGGTTTGGTTAACAAGCGACCCTCTGGAAGCGAATTGGGTTAGATTAACGAGGACCACTGTATAGACATAAATTCACCTGACTCATGACAACTGATTTCATAGTTGAGTGTTCAGTGACCGAGTTGAATAAATTTCTGTGGTTGGTGGTTAACCTTTTTGTTGTACATGGGCTGGAACTGCCCCAGGCCCATATATAGCGAATGCACAAGGAAGACTCACATGCTCGTGACTTTTCCTCAACGCATCTCCAGGTATGTGAATGATTGCTTCCCGCCGCCATGTTAAGTCAGTTTAACTAGGTCGAATTTTGTGAATATTAGTGTTCATGTTTTAACAGTGAAATAATCATGTGCCAAGTAATTCAAGTAAAGGAAGTCTCGTCTGTGTGTATGACGTATAGTTATGTGTAGTGAGTTAGACATTTTCACGCTCGTGACTCTTCCTCAACGCATCTCCAGGCACTGTCTGTGTTGCACCCTCCTAGGGTTGGTAGCTGCCTGCGGGCAAGATGGTCCTTGAAGGATGTCTTTAATATGGCGAGATTAGAATCCGAGGACAGGAACACCCAGGGAACAGAGTGCGAAGACACTGCACCGAGTCTACCCCTGGGCGCTACTAGCGAGCTTTGGCTGTTTGTGTCATAAACAACCCCTGACCAGTGTACTCAGTCTTGTCCGGATCATTGATCTTGGTTATATGTATTGAGAGCAGTATTGGTATCTATGATAGGGGATAATTAGCAGAAATATGGTTATCCCAAGTTGAGTATTGAACCCATGAATGTTGGTGTTACCAGTGGTAACGTTATAGGGGTTTTGAGTCCAGCCAAGTGTACTACCAACCAAGTTCTAGTTAAAGTGCCATGTTGTTCATTCCGAAATATCATGATGTGTTAAATAATATCTATAATTTTGGATATTGTCGAGTGTGTCATATAATCATCTGTATTGACATTGACGTAATATAATGAGTGTGTAATGTTGTAACCAAGAAATGAAGATCTATTTTGCTATGTGTAAAGTAAGACCTAAGTGGTCCAGTCTTGTCTGAGTGTACTTGATTAACATAGTGTTCACTCCTTATGTTAATAAATATTGAATTTGTAAAGTACGAGTATCACTGCTCTACCCCTTCTTCCGTTGGTTCTCAGAAAATAACTATTGTAACTCACCGTGCCTAGAAGCTCGCTAGCACGCTACCTAACAATCTAATTAGATATGTTATATTCTAGAAAAAGTCTGGGTGGTAAGAATAACATGATTTTCCCAGACTGATCCATGGTATAGAATATAACTAAACCAGGGTATAATTGAGAGAAAGTAAGGGCATAAAATTCAGAAAATACAATAATATGTATGGCAGAAGGAATGAAGTAGAAACAAAGAATTAATAGAAGAAATATGAAGAAGGAAAAAACAGACCCTTACACTGGCAATCAGAAATTTCCAGGTTTAAAGTTCCGGCTAACGGAGATATTACTATATCACTCCTCTCCTTTTTTTTTTTCTTTGCAGATACAACATTGTGCTGCTGAATTTTTGGACAACTATATATTCATTGTAGTTGGTGTTATTGGACACAGCCAACACAGATGTCACACAAGAAATTGTATCTGTGGAGAGTCATCACAAGAGAGAAAGCTTATGGAATACATGAGGAGTGTAAATTGTGGTAAGTATATTTTGAATACTGTACTGCGGTAAGTTGAACCTCGCTAAAAATAAATACTTTGGTTAATCTGGGATCAAAATTCCAAATGGGCTACACTCCAAAATCGAGCAAAACTAGAATATTAATGATAGGATCTCTCCCACCTTAACTGTTGTGTCTGAATAAAATAAGTAAAAAAGAGCCAGTTGCCCAAAGCAGACGCACACACATATATATACGGTGATCCCTTGGTTAATGAACGCATACGGTTAACGAAATTTCGGTTAGCAATTACCTTCCATAAGAAACTTCAAATCGTTGAAAAAATTCGGTTAAATTTTTCGAAATCATGTCAACATGTTTTCTAAGCTGCTCTCAGCTGGAATATTAGTCCATACAGTATGTCGTTCTAGGGCTTAAATTCATTCCCATTTGAGTAAATATCAAGAAGGTTGTACTATTCAATAATTTTCCAAGTCTTATATTAAAGTTTTAGTCATTTTAACACTTATTTAACATAATTGAAGTACAGGGAACTGTTTTAGCCCACCAAACAGTGGGTTGACTCACCCAGCAAGGCGTCAGTTTGTATCTCTCTTCAGTGGAGGTAACATCTTGCTTGTGGCTCTCTTGAACATAAACTATTTTTACATTTTTACAGTACAATTATTGGTCATTCTGAAATTTATTTTACATATTGACAATATATAATGCAGTTACAGTGTTGATTTAAAGAAAATTATCTTGAATTACACCAAGTGAACTTAAAATTTTATGGATTGAAATGGCGGCATCAGCATGGGGTGATTTCTCTTCCACCACCACTTCCTTCTCTTCCCTTCTCCTCCACCTCCACTTCTAATTCCTATCATCATCAACCAGGAGCCTACATACCTCAGTATGTATTTTATTTATTTATTTTTACTTTGTATGTAATTTTCGTGAGCTGGAACCAATTACCCAAATCCCATTGAAACAATAGTTTTGGTTCATTTAAATTTCGTTAATTTAACGGACTTCTGGAACTATATATATATATATATATATATATATATATATATATATATATATATATATATATATATATATATATATATATATATATATATATATATATATATATATATATATATATATATATATATATATATATATATATATATATATATATATATATATATATATATATATTAAATTTTGCCTCAGGTCTTAATGTGGGTCATGACCTATGCTGGGCTAACTTTAAAAAAATCATCAAAGCTTTAAATTATATTATTATACGCAGTTTGGCTGTTTCTGCTTGTCTATACAGAGTACAACATTTAACCTTTCAATATATATGAGCAGTAAATAAAGGTTTTATATTCAGATGTGGAGTAATATGTTTTCATGACTTACATATGAATGATAGTCTCAATTTTTTACCATTAATGGTTAGCTACTTATATTCCATTTATTAACATTAAATAACATTACAGGTACTTCAAACAACCATATTAATTTTTTTACATTAGTTTTACTACAGCTACAATCAGGGTCTTATTTTCTTCAGTTTTATATGTAGAACCAATAAGTCACTGGTTTTGTAAGCTTTAACATAAACAATGCCGGCAGTCGTCTCGTCTCCTCTAATATTCCACGTATTATTAATAAATTGTATTGTTAATTTTGCACACACTAACATTAATTCAATAAAAATCAATTCAGAAACATTAATTAAAATATATATGAACAGTAAATAAGTGTTGCTTTCATATTCTTATGTAAAGTAATGACGATATGTTTTCACGTGTGCGCACTTACATACGCGATCTCTCTATTTTCTTTACCATTATCGTTAGCTACTTCTATTGTTCCATTTATTAACATTAAATAACATAACTTAAAACAACCATATTAATTTTACTCCAGCTACAACCAAGGTCTTATTTTCTTCAGTTTTATATGTAGAACCAGTCAGTCACTGGTTTTGTAATCAACGAAAACAATGCTGTCTTATTTCCTCGTGTTTTAATATTCTTTGTATTATTAATGAATTGTATTGCTCATTTTGCACACACAAACATTAATTCAATCAAAAAGATTTTCAGTAATAAACAATAATGAATCTTTTGTACATAAGAGAAATGATGCTGTTTACAGATTGTGCCCGTCGTCTGAACGTTGGTGGGCCGTTCAAACCCGTCGAAATTCGATTTTCCGCCGTCAAAAATTTTTAAATGTGTTGTTTTTTTGTGTGTTCAAATAGAAAACGTCGAATTAAAAACTCGAAAAATTTGAGAAGCTATTGTACGACATTTAACCCTTTAATATGTCTTCAAAGAGATCATGAAGCAGAGAAAGTGGTACTAGTGCTTCCAAGCCAAGTCACTATCTATCCAGGAAAAGGGTGAATTTCTATGGTCCAGAAATTTCCATGGTCCAGAAATTTCCATGGTCTGGCACCGGTCAGGTCCCGAGGTCGCCGGACTAGAGAGGTACAACCTGTATATATATATATATATATACAGTGGTCCCTCGGTTAACGAGCAAAATCCGTTACAGCAGGTTGCTCGTTAACCGAAACCATTGTTTCAATGGGTTTTTGGGTAATTGGTTCCAGCTCACCGAAAATTGCCTAAATTCAACAAAAAAGGTAGAAAAGTACACTTACTTTGAGGTGTGTATGTAGAAGGCTCCTGGATGATGATGATGATGGGAATTAGAATGGGGATGGAGGAGAAGGAAGAAGAGAAGACATTGGGGTGGAAGAGAAGTCACCCCATGACACCATTTCACCCATAAAATTTTAGCTCTCGGTGTAATTCAAGATTATTTTCTTTAAATCAACACTGCACTGCATTATATATTGTCAATATGTAAAATATATTTCAAAATGACCAATAATTTGCTTGGAAACACAGAAAAAAAGCATTTAGTTGAAGAGAGTCTCAAGCAAGATGTTACCTCCACTGAAAACAGAGAGAGACTAACGCCTGTCTGGTGTGTTAACAGGCTGGATGGCACGCCAGAAACTAGTTTCTTTACCTTCAATTATGTTCAATAATTGTTAAAATGACTAAAAAGTTAATATTAAACTTTTAAAATTATTGAATAGTATAAACTTCTTGATATTTACTAAAATAGTAAGGAATTTAAGCCCTAAAACCGATTACTGTATTGACGGACTAATACTACAGCTGGTGGACCGCCAAATGCAAGCGAAAACATGTTGAAGTCGGCTCGTAAAAAACTCGTTAATCGAGGGATTGCTCGTTAACCGAAGTTAAGAATCTTATGGAAGGTAAATCGTTAACCGAAATCTCGTTAACCGAGGCGCTCGTTAACCGAGGGACCACTGTGTGTATATATACATATATATATACAAAAAATGAATGTTCAATTGAATTATTTATGGTGCATTAGGGTACTGGCCACTTCAGACACAAAGACGGGCTATAAATAGTCTTGTTATCTACCCCTACATCTCACCCTGAGCCAGAAGGAAGCATCTTGGTAAATATCATTTGTTTGCTTATTTTCCATTACTTGAAATAGATTTACCGAATTATTTGTTTATTTATTTATTTATAATATACTGTAAAATATTAAACACTGTAATTATTTTCTTTAATTTATAAACTTGTTTTGCGACAAAGGAATGTTCTCCAGTAGTGTTTCATTAGGATTTGAGTGAAAAAATATTACGTACTTACTACATACATTTATTACACAAACATATTTATATATACTGTATGTATACATATATACACATACACACATTTAATTTACTAAGTCACCATATTTTAAAAGCAAATTATCCGACAAGTTAAAAATGTTATTAGCACATGATTATTACTGACGTCATCATGTATTAAAAACCTTCAAAATTCACATCATCAACATCTGATATCATAAGTTCTTCAAGTACATCCTGAGGTACATTTATGGCTGCTTCATCATAAGGATCAAACTCCAAATCAGATGACGTGGCTTCGGCTTCTGTTTCATCCTCGTCCTCCCACAACATATCATCCTCCATACCATCCATTGAATTAGATATTCCGCACTTTTTAAAAGACTTGATAACGTTTCCACATTAATATCATTCCATGCCTTGATAACAAAATCACACAGTACATCCAGTTCGGGAGCACGCATATTCCCACCTTTCGTGTAAGACTTTTTGCCGCTGATCATCCACTTGTTCCATTGTTCACGAACGCGGTCCTTGAATGGTTTGTTTAGACAAACATCAAGTGGTACAACTGAAGTTAATCCACCAGGAATAACTGCAATGTCACTGTTGTTCCTCGCCATGCTGGTTTTTGTTCCCTCTGTTAAATGACTCGCGAACATATCCCATACTAAGAGGCTACGCTGTTTTCGAAAGCCACCAGGTCGCCTGCACCATATATGATCAATCCATAACTTTATTCCTTGTTCGTCCATCCACCATTTCTCGTTGACGTGAACAAAAACTCCAGCCGGAAACTCGATTTTGGGCATTGTTTTCCTCTTGAGAATTAGCATTGGGTTCAACCACGCCTCGGCTCCTCCCCACTACACTTAACTACGCCTCACCCGCCCCGCCTCACCCGCCCCGCCTCACCTGCTCCGCCTCCACCCGCCTCGCACCGTCCAGTGTGACCACCAATCCCCATATGTTTTGTCCCGTGAGTTATGCTTCGAAATCGGTGGTTAGTGTTACTTAATATTGCGATAATTACAGAGCTTCACTCAGTGTGTTTTTATGCTAGTATGATTTGTAATGTATTCTTTGACGCGTTGTGATAAATAATATTCAATGTAGTGAGCAGAGCTTAACTCCCCGACCCAGCCTGATGAGAAAATTGTCGTGACGGAAATAATAGTTACCAAACATTGACGTAACGTATAAAGTAAATATTTGTTTTTCTTTACGGATACACTTCCAACTAATCCATCATCCCTCTTTTCGATTGTACATACATACATACATGCATACATACATACATACATACATACATACATACATACATATATACATATATACATATATA